GAAGACAAATTTATATTGTACTTACTCTGTTTGATCCGCATATTAAATTTAGGTAAAGGAGATATAACAATAAAAAGGGGGGAAATCAGGACATGAATTGCTAATTTGAGCTTCTGTGTAAAGTAGCTATTGAGTTTGAACAGAAAACATTATTCAGTAGAAATATGAACATTTCAATGATTCTGGCGTAATTGAAAGATATTTTTGGAGGAGATACTTACTAAATCTCAAACAATTAAATACCATAATAAACACATTTTTTTCTTTGAAATGCAACCAACTTAAGTTAAGATAACTGCATGTATGTTATCTAGCACGATATACATTGACCTCATATAATTTGTAAAATAACTCTAAAGCGCTTTACAAAATATGGATAATAGTAATGGTTGTAACTGTGAAAACAAAAAACAAAGGCTTACAATCATTTAAGTAAGCAATGTGCACATAATTGAACAAATAAAAGGGTGGTATTTACAAGACGTCTTTGAAAGGATTCTAAAACGCAGACGTGAAAAGGTTTGTTTTGATGTCCCTCTTGAACTTGGCCAGGGTATTTGACTTTCTAGTATTGTTGGGACACACAACAAAGATTCTGCCTCAGACCGCAGTGATCTTGACGGCTGATACAGGGTAACAAGCTCATGTAGGTACTGAGGAGCTGTTCCATTCAGTGCCTTGTATGTGTATACCAGAATTTTGTACTTCGACCTTTATCGTACAGGTAACCAGTGCAACGAATAAAGTACAGGTGTGATGTGCTCTCTCTTTCGAGTACGAGTAACTAGCCGTGGTGCAGTGTTCTGGACCCTCTGCAAACGACTAGTTATTTTGTCAGATAAACCACAGAGCAGGGCATTACCATAATCCAACCGAGAGGTAACAAGTGAATGCACCAAAATCTTGCATGCATCTGCAGTTATAAACTACCGAATACAGCCGATTTTCCTGATCTGGTAGGAACAGGATTTGGCAATAGTGTTCACTTGTTTCTCCATGTTCAGTGAACTATCAAAGTATACCCTAGATGTTTAACAGCTGGAACAGTCTCAATAGTTCTGGCACCGACCTTGTGCTGGAGAGCCATTGTTTGCTGACACTTTGGGGAAATGACGATTAGTTCCGTCTTTTCCTGTTTAAGCTTAAGCATGTTGGCGTTCATCCAGATACTGATATCTGTCAGACAAGCTTCCAGATTATCTGATATTGTATTCCAACTGTCCTGTGGTTTGATGACCATGTAACTGTGTGTGTCATCGGCATAGCAATGATAGCGAATACTATGGCGACGACAGTTCCCTCCAATCGGTTTGGAGTACATATTTTCGTGGTCCTAACACCGATCCTTAAGGAACCCCGAAATCTAGTACTTTGACATATGAGGTGGAAAAACCGATGGCAACACACTGTCGTCGTTCACTCAGATAGGACTGTATCCAGCATGGTGCGGTATCAGTCACTCCATAAGAGTATTCCAGACGTTGATAAAGTATGCCATGGTCGATGACGTTTGTTATCCAATGCAGAAGCTATAACACTCTGTGCACGTAGGAGGGCCGTATCAGGAGAGTGTCCTATGCGGTAGGCCGATTGCATGTTGTCATGGAGACTGTTTGCATGGAGATGAACCTCTAAACGCCGGAACACAACCTTCTCCATATCTTAGACAGAAAAGGCAGATTTGAAACTGGGCGGTAGTTTTTCAACTCCTCCTTGTCCGTTCTAGGCTTCTTTAACAATGGTCTTAGATGTGCCTTCTTAAAACATAATGGAACCTTTGACTCAGCCAATGATTTGTTCATGAGTGAGGTAATCAAAGGAAGCAGTGCTTCAAGACATTGTTTTAATAGGTCTGTAGGCAGTTGATCAAGCTCACAGGACTTCGATTGCGAGGTCATGATAATGTTGCGCAACTCGTCCTGGGTTGTTGGTGAGAGCTTTGTCAATGGTTCCCCGTCAAATGCAATGTCAGCAGTCATGACAGAGATGTCAATGTCAGCAGAGGAGTTCGCTTCGGCAATATTTTTCCTGATTGAGTTGATTTTATTCAGAAAGTAACCACTGAACTTACCTGCTAAGTCTTTTTCAGAATTACAGCTTGGTAGGATAATCTCACCTTTCTATCCCATTAGGTTTTTGGTGAGTCTAAAAAGCTGTCTATTATCTTTACCGCATTCTTCGATTCTTTCTGAATAATAAGCCTTCTTTGACTGAAAGAGTAGTGAATCTTACATATCCTATTATTATTATCATATGGGCATCGGTGTATTAAAGGATGTATTCTTCTAGTGTTCAAATCGCGTCCAAATCTCGTTTTGTTTCGTGTAATTCTAAAAGGAAACAGGCCTCTGAAATAGATTCCTGTGTATGTTAAAACAATTACAAGAATTTTAAAAACAAAATAGCGGAATTCGGCAAAATTCGGCAATAAATTGGACTTTTACTGAAGCATCTGGTAATTTCGTCAATAATGGACTAAAGAGTACCTATTTAAGGTCAAAAGAGTAAAATTTCATTTTAATAATGTTCCAAAACATGTGTTAATGAATAGAGAAATTGGAAATGAAATGTAAAACTATTTATGATATCACAGATTCAAAACTTTTGGCTACACCAGACAGTATTTATTCCATAATATGTATATTAGTATAAACCTCATATACTTGTTACCGATTACTCTTTTGTAAGGATGATGTTACATATACAATATTTAAAACAAAAGCATATAACGACATTTAAGACAGGACATTGGTCAGAGAAATCTTGTGTTTTATAGATATTTACATCAGACCTTGGTGATATGATAAAAAGGATTTGTTTTTCGTTTTTTATCATTTTATAACGACGAAAATCTTCCCGTTTTTTTATTTAAATCTTGCGTGAATAAGTCATTTAATAAATCAAAAGTAAAAACTATTTGATTATGTTGTCACACTGTATATACGATTGATACCTTTCTGTTGACGATTTATGATGTTCTTTAAATATATATTGTGATATTGTTTAATTGTATACAAAGTTCTGCATACCAACATGTCTGTACCGGCAGGAAGGAGGTGACCGCCGAGATTGTAGTCACTGGCTGTCTCGCGAATGGTTGTCTTAGCAATGGGATAAAGGCGGAGTGTTTCCTTCAACACCATGTCCAGGTAAGGTAACTTCTCAATCTCATTCAGACTGATCACTGACACTGCACCAACGTTCTCATCAACCTCCTTTTGTAGCCTATTAAAGAATCATCATTCTGTTTCAAACTCAACTTAAGACTTTTGTTGTCAATACTGTTTTACCACGTTGAGAAATCATTGTTATTTGTCTGGAATGTGTATTCTATCAAATACAGTTTTGATCAATTATATTGTGGACATTTTCATTTCGTTTTCCTTGCTCTGTATTCTTTGCTTATTAAATTTACCATTATATCAAAATATTCTTGTAAAAAAGACGAGATGACCCGATCGTGTATCTTACTTCCTGTAACATTCTGGGTTCTGTCCAAGAAGGAAAAGCATGAAACTCATTGTGTTGGCGGATGTTTCCTGTCCTGTATGATACAAATCAATGATGTATCAAATAATTGATGTTTTCCTTAAGTATCTTTTCAGCTCATCATTTTCATTCTTCAATATTTCATTAAACATATCAGTTAAGTATGCTTTATGTAAGGTTGATTATCAATAATGCCGTTAAAAGTCGCATCGAAATAAACATTACGTAGAGATTGTCTTAAACCATCGGAAGACATTGTCTGACGACAACAACACCGAAAATGAAATAGCGAGGAGTAAAATATAGAAATTTATGATAAAAACGCTTAATTTAAAATCGTATTGTATTTGTTATTTGACGTATGTTAAACTTCAAACTTTTTCTGTTTCTTTGAAATGATTCCACCAAGTGACATATTTCTAATATGCTAGAACTTTTAATTTTCTAATTATATAACAACACCGAAGAAGTTCGTTGTTATAGGTGCTTTACCTGACCTGACCTGTCTGAGACTGAGGTGATACAATGTATTTATATATTTAATAGATGATTATATTTACCTGCTAATAAGAAAGTCAAGAAATTGTCCAACAATATTTCGTCCGTTATTATTGATGGGTACTTTTCTGAAACAATACATAGGCAAATATTGTTTTTTGTTGTTTGCCCCGTTTTATTCATTGCCTGGTCACATGACAAATTTACTCACAGTCACATAGTTGTCGTGTTACAAATTTTCAAAATGACATTGATTTCAATCATTAAATTGACAATTACTTCGATGTGGTTTATCTGTTGTCTGGTCGCAAAAACGTATAGAATTTTTTAATGCAATGACTTTTTTGAAAAAATACTTTAAACGTAGTATAACAGTTGAACACCAAGAAAACAAACAATTTCGGCTAAAAAAATCTGAACTAGTGGCACTTCCGTAAAAAGCTAATGAGTCAATAAACTAAAAACAAAATTGAAGTGTGTGATATAATTCATAAATTTGTAATAAATGCATATTCAATGCCACCTTCTCATACTATAGTAAAGAATAGCTGACCTGAGATGCAAGAATTGATCATGTGTTTTATTTCACTAGACTGCAATTATCAGCAGTAGCTATGGTCAAAACAATTGTCTGCATCGTATAAATATATCATACTATCAAAAATTAAATACACGAAACAGCACCAATGTGTCCTCCCTGTGCGCATATTAAACAGACAAGAATGATATATATTTGACAAGTACCTTTTAGTTCCATAATGTATTCCAAGAGATCGTGGGGAAAATAGTCGCCGTTACTTTTTGCAACTTTTCTTTCGATCATCATTTGTTTTGCACTACCTCTGATGAAATTGATAGCTCCCCGTACTTCCCGGCGAAATCCCCATTTGAACGGATTCTCACCTTTTAGTTATTTTAGTACAGTTAGAATCCAATTCATATTTTATCTTATATCTAAGAGTCAGTGCAATCAGTTGTGGTTTTCATTACCTATAAAGTGGATCCACTGTACTCCGTGTCTTACATACGAAATAAAAATATTCATGGAGAGAACAATAACATCGGTTTTACAACATTACTACATTTTCATTCATCATTTAGATTTTCTGGGGGCTGTGGCTAAGTAGTTACGACGTCTTACGTTGAGTAATCGCAAGGGTGGGGCACACACCAAACCAAAACCAAAAGTTCAAAGCTATCATTTACAGAAATAGAAATGAATATATGCTATTTTGAAACATTAGTACAGATGAGCGCAACAGAAAATGTAAACCTTTCAGAAAATAATATATACCAGTTGCGTATATTATTATGAAATCACATTCATGCATAATTTTCAATGCATAACAAAAAATATTCAAATGGATTAAATATAAATTTTGCACGAGAAAAAAACGTAAGGATTTGAAGACATCGTAAAGGTAATGAAATAAACAAATAATTGAAACAAAACCGGAGCGCCGCGTTACAGGACGAACTCCTTAGCGTTTATTGAGATTAACGAAATATATACGTACAACTACCAAAGGGTTTGCCAGGAGAGCCGAAAATCCTGACAAAGCTGTCTTCATTTTTGTAACAAAGGGGTGGTTCTTGCCATGTAATGATCCTAAATCTACACTGAATGCAACCTGCAAAAAAAAGTGTCAGATCACTGGATAAGATAATATAAAATAAGTTATAATAAAGCCAAAACACAGAACGAAAAAAAGATAAAACCATTTCAATGGAAATTTCTATCTACAACTTTTATTAAGCGTACAAATTACGAATATTTCTTGTTATATAACTTTCCCTTATATAAACTTTATACACCAGACGATAGTACACACTCATTCAGACAAACCTTGTATATATACACAACAGGCGATAGTACACACTATTCAGACAAACCTTGTATATATATACAACAGGCGATAGTACACACTACTCAGACAAACCTTGTATATATATACAACAGACGATAGAACACACTACTCACAGAAACCTTGTATATATATACAACAGACGATAGTACACACTACTCACACAAACCTTGTATATATATACAACATATTATAAACTGTCCATACACAAACCTTGTACAACAGACGATACTAATATGAAAAGGCAGAGCCTAAAAAAAGAGCGTAGCTTTTAATAATCTCTTATTATTACTGATTCAGAATAATGCTTACTAAATAGAATGAGAGAAAGGGAGCCGTCAAGTCGAGGAATAACAAAAATCGACAAGATTTAATAAGATTTTAAGACCGACAAAGCAATTTTGGGAGACCGGGGCAAGTTCGGCCCATATTTATTATCTTAGTCGTTCTTGGCAGTATGGCAGCACGTCCATATTTGAAGACTACATGATTATTTTACTTTTCCTGTCGGAAGATCGGATGGCCGAACGAGCCCTGTTATACGGTTAATTCGGACAGGCAGTCGGGTAAGTTCAGCCCAAATTCGCTTGATTATTACGTCATAAAACATGCAACGTCAGATTTTCCAACCAATATTTCGAATTTTTATGTGTTCCATGGGTCGAAGTTGCCCTGGTATCATGGGTCGAACCTGACCAGGCCCAAGTTGACATTTTAATAAATTCTTATAGTACAGCAATACAATTATACGTGCTAGGCTTGGCTTTTATGTACATGTATAACATTTAAAGCTGTCAGTGTGTCACACTTTTGACCGTAAATAAGTAGCGATTCCGTTTACAGAAAATTCGAATAACTAGAAGGAAGCGAGGTCAAGGCTTTCTTTCTACTCTCCCAAAAAGTGATAAGTATATATTTGAATTTTTCCTCGACGTTTTTTCGTGTGAATACCCAGCCAACTAAACTGCTAAGATCCTAAAGTTATACATATTCAGTAAAATCTAAAGTAAATATTTGTTCTTGTGTGTATAACTTAAACGTTGCGCCGGATGGCGCAGTGGATAGCGCGCTCCTCTTCACCAAGATGGCTGAATTTGATCCCTGATTTAGGTTCCTCCCACACTAAAATTGAACCCTCTGCGCGCTTCCGTCATATATGTTTAGTAATTGCTATCAAGTTCATATGTATTTGACAGTACATCAATGTAAATGTATAAAGATGTTAGTTGAAAGACAAAATGGGGAAAATATCCATACACAAACCTTGTACAACAGACGAAAATATACACTACTCATAAACAAACCTAGTACAACAGACGATAATATACACTACTCTAACACAAACTTTGTATATATGTGCAACAGACGATAATATACATTTCTCGTACACAAACCTTGTGCAGCGGACGATACTATAAACCACCTATATACAACCTTGTACAACATACGATTATATACACTAATCATACACAAATCTTGTATAACAGACGATATCATACATTACTTATACACAAACTTTGTACAAAGGACGATTATATACACTACTCTTACACAAACCTTGTATATATGTACAACAGACGATACTATAAACTACCCATATACAAACGTTGTTCAACAGGCGATACTATACCCTACTCTTACACAACCTTGTACACCAGACGATAATGTATACTACTCATGCACAAACCTTGTGCAACAGATGATTTTATGCACTACTCTTACACAAACCTTGTACAACAGACGACAGTGTACACTTCTCTTACACAAACCTTGTATATATGTACAACAGACGATACTATAAACTACTCTTACACAAACCTTGTATTTATGTACAACAGACGATACTATAAACTACATGTACTCATACACAAACCTTGTACAACAGACGATACTATAAACTACCTATATACAAACCTTGTTCAACAGACGATAATATACACTAATCATACACACTCTTGTACAACAGACGATACAATATATTGCCCATACACCAACATTGTACAACAGACGATTATATACACTATACATACACAAATTGTACCCTGTGTAACAAACAATAAAATGCATTACTTATATACAAACATTGAACAACAAACGATAACATACTTTGCACTTAGATAAACATTGTATAACCACGGAATTAGATTCTAAGTCCGTGGTATAACAGAGTAGAGCATACCTTACACTGAAATAAACCTTGTACAGCAGACGATAACATACGTTTTCCTTAGATAAACATTGTACAATAGACGATCATTTACCATACCCGTATAAGCATTTGTAGAACAGACGATAAAACATACTTTGCTTTGTGTAACAGACACTAATATACCCTTATCTTTGATAAACCTTATACAACAGCTGTTTGCATAGTCTTATCTGAGATAAACTATCAAATAACTTTTGCCTACTTGCAAACAAACCCCTTACAAAATATGACACAGCCTTCTCCTAGACAAACTTGTTTAACAAATGACATCCACGTCTTTCATATAAAAGCATAACGACAGCCAAAGACAAATTCTGCCTCCAAACAAGCCTTGTTTGTATAATGAATAACCAACCATACACTCATACAAACCTTGTACAACAAATGCATCGACAGTTTGTTTAACGAATGCAACAAGTGTATTTCCGTCTTGCCGTTCGCAGAGGTTTCCAGGTATTCTGTGTAACGGTCGGCAAACACATTGAATTCAGATGCAAATTGTCGAATGTAGCTGAAAGAGTTTAAACAGTTGATCAGTAATTACGATAAAGAATTACAAGGAAAACGTTTGCTTATATCGTTTAAAAAATCCAATAGGAACCACTTTTGGTACGACGAACTTGAATGAAATGGTGTTAACGCAAAGATAGCAGTAACAAGCTTCAACAATCATAATATGAATAGCTGCCAGTGCCCAGTTTTAAAATCCCTACATGAAAACAGCGCTATCAAAATTTAAACAGTCGAAAAAAAAAAAGACTGCCACCGGCAGCGATCCCAAAAGTCTATCAAGCTCAAAATGTGGCATTCACACATGAGTTATATATATATTATGTCAAGCTAATTACATAAAGCTTCATCCAGTTTTTTCTGAGATGTATCGGTAAACAACTTCAAATGTCAACATACAAATTGGCTGCCGGCAATAAATCTGAAATCCAATCAAGCCGAAAATGTGAAATACACAACTAGGTCCCACACTGAATATGTCCTGAAAGCTTCCTGAATATTTATTTCATACTTTCTTACATATTATACAGTGTATAATGTGGTTTCTGTATATCTCAGCGATACATACGTTACCCAATCTTTAACATTTTTAGTGCTGCAAAGTGTATAAATCTGTTGGTATGTTATCTCAGTCCTTCCGTCGTCAGTTCAATGTTATATATCTTTATCCATCAAAGTCATCTTTCCTTCTGTGTTAATTGATGTATACTCAGTTACTTACCTGGGTTTAAACCATTGGTCAAAATGCATTCGCTGTATTATCCAATGTTTGCTATCAAGCTGTCCTTCCAATCCTTGGCCCATGAACCTGAAAGCGGTTAAATTTATATCAATACCTAAAATATATTTTGACAGGATGTTAAAGACAAATTTGGCTGGATGGTAAATCATTGTTTTTGTATATTTACATCTAGATATATATTGAATTATCAAGTATTATACCAGGTTATATGACGTTTTATGTCTTGTCGTCGCGACAAAAATTAGTTTAAATCTTTCACGACATTTTTTTTATAGATTAGTTGAATTTTAAAATAACATTGGTCGAAATCTATAAACAATTTCATTACCTGCTCAAAATGTGGCATTCACACATGAGTTAAAACCAAATACGCTAGCTACTCTTGAGTAAAAACGTTTTGACTTCTGGTGATTTCCAGTTACCAGAACATCCTGAAATTAAACCAAGATTTTGCTAGAATAACAACAATACAATGTGTGACGGTGTATCAACTGAAACATTCTTTGATTGCCCCTGATTCCTACTCTCTTGGAAACAAAATATTTACCATTTCATCATAACATAAACCGCAGTTCAGGAAAACATTTTATTTCACACTCCTTATGATAATAGAAAAACAGTTTTAAAAATGTCAACGAAAACTTATATAATCTGTAAGGGCAAGCGATAGGTTTGTGTGTTACATGAGTTTTACCTTAATGCATTCTGGATCTAAAACAATGACTGCAACTTCATTCCAGAAGCAAAGACGAAATACCAGCCCGTAAGTTTTGGAACTGAAATTCAATATGTAGGTTAAAACATGATTATTTTCAGAACACTACATAGAGAATGATCTCATGGAAATGGCCTAAATATATAGCACATCCATCATATCATAGTTTGTTTTTTCTGTGTAAGACGATGTTAAATAATAATTATGAATGTTATAAATATGTTTCTTTTAAACAGTCAGATAATATAATAAATTGTAAGTCATATCTTCAAGGAAGATACAGTAAATAGGTAACATAATGCCAAAAAAGTTTAAATTATGAAGTCGGAGGGTCATTGTGAATTTCGAACTTCCTTTAACCCGACAATTATCGCTTACATTTCCAACTCATAAACGCACAATAGATCATATCCAAATTCACAAAACCAAACACATTCTCAACGACAAAACAAGAAACATTCGTAATCACAAAAACAAACGCAATAACACTAGCACAATACACTTTCGCAACAAAAACACAACACATAAACAATCACACACCTTGCACATCCACAAACACGTTTAAAAACAAACCCGAACACAGCTACAAACACGTTTAAAAACAAACCCGAACACAGCTACATACTTTTTTACATTCACTATCACCAAATGAAACATGTATACAATGACGAAAACCAAACACAACGACATTCACAAATTAAAAACAAATAAAAAACACAATTTCAAAAACAAACCACAATCACAATAACAAACACATCTACAGCATGGTTCATACATTAATCACACATATTTATAACTTTTCAACCTACAAAAAAAACATTTGATATGTTCATGTTGTAAGTTTCACAAATGTAGCGACTTAATTCATCATTAATTGAAATAAGGTTATTTTTCTAAGTATTCCTTCATATATAATTGATTTACTTACATTTCTAATAAGTAGTCATCCATGATTCCACCGGCAGCTTTTACTTTTTCGATAGATGGAATGTTCCCTTTCCAGAAGCTTTAAGATATATATGCACTGTTTAGTATTTAAATCGTCCTCAAATTTTTAACGTGTACTTTCTTTAAGAACTTATTTATAACTGGTAACAAGAGAATGGATTGTTAAAATAAAGTCAAAATGTGAGTTCCCTGCAAACATGCAGTTTTTCAGTGTTACCAAACTTTGGCAAAAGACCTAAAGGGTTTACTATTGAATAAATGCTCAGTGTAAGATTTTGTTAATGTTTTATATTCAAGAAGAAACATACATTGGACGAGAAGAGAATACATATAACAGTTATCATATGCGTTGTTTTTAAGGGTGTGTTTTCGCTCGATTTTTCTCTCTTGGATCTCTGTTCGTATAAATGTCACTGTAAAAATTCAGATTCTTAAAATAACACAACTCAAGCAAAAAAACAACCTCAACGGGAAAAAATGTTGTAATCTAAACTTCCGTTCTTTCAAAAATAGTTAACCTTCAACGATTCTGTAATGGTTCAAACTGAATGCAAACACGCAATTGTCCTAAATAAAGAAACCACCTTAAGTATTGTGATGGAGTCGATTCACTGTATATCGTACCTCGGCGGCTTCAGATGACGTTCAGGAAGTTTTACAATCGTCATTAGGACCAGAAGTCTAACTTTGATATATTGTTTTTTCCGAATTTTCTCCCGTCTTGCATGTTAAGGAGTATTTATCGCCTAGAGTATGGCAGATAGCATGTGGTGAGGGACAACACAATTACCCCCACGGGTAAAACAACACAATTACCCCCACGGGTAAAACAACACAATTACCCCCACGGGTAAAACAACACCAGACGACATAATCATATTTCTACGGATTTTCTAAAAAATGCAGATTGCAAATAATGATAACCGTTGTTTTCGAAACGTCCTTCATAGAATGGCACAAAAGCAGCATTCCCTAGGGTGAGGGTATTCCATGGAAATGTTACCGCCGGATGAGGTTCCTTTATTATTTAACCCTCAGCTTGTAGACCATCTGGTTAAGATTTATGTCATAAAGTTAACGATAAACGTAGTTTCCTTATTTAACTGAAGACTCCGGGTACTACGTATATTGCAAGACATGCCGTTTCACAATTCACATACGATTTTTCGTTTGGTTTAAATACTTTCCTTTCTAAAGAAATCCATTTATAATTTGTCTTTAATAAATTTTAGATTAAAAAAAAAGGTTGATTATAATATTAATCGAGCCTTATGTTTCGATTGAAACCACTGGTTAACAACTGGGACGTGTGTAAGTCTATCATTAACCACTAGATATATTGCAGTGGGTGTTCAAATATTCCCTGTAATCGAAAGTTCAGAAATGTAAGTCTTATTACTTTCATCGGGCATTGATATAGACAACATTTAGTAGTTTAACTGAGTCGACCAGTTAATAATATATATTACATCATTAGAATAAAATGATACATATGGATGGTTATACAATAATATGATGTTGTACATATCTAAATTTTAGGTTGGAATACCGAAGCAATTGATTTACAAATAGAACATCAGGCTTTAAACAAAGAGGGGATTTTTCCTCGCTTTAAAGTCGAATAATTATATATGGACAATGTCACCCGATTGATCAACCTTATTTTGTTGATTGCTTTCTTTTTAAATTGAAATGTGGTCGAGCTTAACAAACCAGTTAAAAGCAGCACGTCTTTCCAAAAATAAATCATACAATTTGAATAGACATTCATAAATACTAGTGGACTATGACCAGGGGACCTTTACGTGATCTTTCAAATGTAAATATGCATCTATTATCCCTTTTAAATGATACTTTTAGCCATTAAGAACAAAGGACCTTTATAAATAACATTGTTTTTATAAAAACAAACAAAAAGTTGGCGATGGCCAAGAATTGACTGTTTGGGTAGTTTTTTTAATTCAGGAGTGTGCAGAAAAAAATGCATTAAAAGTGTCAATCATGTTCTTGGCTGATCACAATGCTCTATATGCTTTAGCGGCACAGTAGTGTTTCTCCTCTATCTGCTTCCTTCGTGTTTTGTGCGATCAAACACATTAAAATTATTATTTGCGTTGTAAGTGAAAAAAAATGCTTTTGCTTCAAATGTTATCTATTTAATGCAGGGCACCACGTGAGACACTGAACTCTAGTACTCGTGTATCATTTGATATAAAAACAAATATATAAATAGCTTTGACCTATATTTATGACAGAGCATATATCCGCCACATTTAAAAATCCTTACCTGTCCCGGGGTGGCCCGGGTAGATGATCATACTTTTGATGTTGACGATGAAAATACCAGGCTACAGTTACGAGTATACAAAGACACACAGCGACTACAATCCCTAAGATTTCCACAAACAACAGACTCATTGTCATGTGTGTTCACAGTTTGAGACACAGCCACAAATGATCTCCAAGCTATCACACAGTTACGTAGCCTTCGCGATTAAGAAATACTTTTTCTGTTACGGAAGCGCATACATGCCAAATAAATCATATTCTGAATCGTCTCGACATTTTCAACATTTGACTGACTCGAAAAGATACTTTAACAAACGGATATGTGTCTCCCTCATTTGATTAAACGATAAATTCGGAATTTCTCTGTATGTATGATTTTTGAGAATGAGATAAAGAGAGAGAATTAGAGCGACAATGACAAAAAGAGAAAGACATGTAACGAATGCTTCGAAACTGTTGTAGTGGAAATGAAAAGCTAGATTAAATTTCAACTGTTGCAGGCATTAGTTTGAGAAAACATATATTTAATCAAATGATCTTTACTTCAGCTCATTTCAGCAAGCTTGATGTGCGTTCTGGAAGTTGTTAATGTGGTCTGCTTGTCTATGGGTGTATATTTCCAACGGCTCATTTATTGTTCCATACAACTTGTACGTTTGCAGCATATAAACAATTATATCCAACCTTCACCATTAATACTCAACTCTTTTCAAATAAAGTACCGGGATATTGACGAAGCTTACCGGGATATTGACACAGCTTGTTCGACGCTTTCTTGTTAATTCTATTAGTTTTCCTCGCTATCTCATGAATTGTACTATTTTCTTGTCGCTATCTCGTGAATGATGTTGTGTTTTCGGCGCTATCTTGATAATTCTATTTGGGATTTTCTCTCGATATCTCGTAAATCAAGTTGCTTACACTGATCAAATATATATTCTACAATTTGAATTCTAATATAAACGACAACAGGTAAAGTGAACCCTTTTCGTACACAAATAAAACAAGTCAAATTTCCGAGTGATTGAAATTCAATAAAAAAAGCGGTTTCCGCTGCCTTTGGAAAAATCACGATAGACTACCATTGTTCACTCATAAGACGTTTACCCTTCAGAAGCACATGGTTTTATTCCCCATATAGTGGTTCAAGAACCTCTATGTAAATATTTTTTTTGTTCATATTTTGTCCTTGGGCTATCCATTTTGAGTTCGAATCACTGTTACAATTACATTCGTTCATTGAATGTAAAGGGGGTCGCGGTGACAAAGTGGTTATGGCGTCCGACATCTGCTACCACTAGCCCTTCGATACTGGGTCGCGGGTTCAAGGCCTAAGTGAGGTAGTCGCCAGGTACTGGCCTAAGGTCAGTGGTTTTTCTTAGGGAACTCTGGCTTTCCTCCACCACCAAAACCTTGCACGTCCTTAAATGACAATAGCTGTTAATAGGACATAAAACACAAACAAACCAAAACAAATCGAATGTAGGGTTACAGATAACATTTGACAGGGAGAACCAGACCCTGTTCGCGTTTCAGCATATATCTTGCGTCCACGTTACAACATTGAAAGCTACACCATCAACGTTTATATTCTCACCCTAATTACTGCACGGGCTAATGGTATATTTTACAGTGTGCCTATATAAATATCTGTCTACCTACGGCGTGTTTATTTAAGATAAGGGTAAGATCAAATAACATGTTTAAAACCGTTAGGTCAAGGTAACCGTGCGACGCTATGCGTGCATGGTAAAGCATTTAATATCAATATAATACATTTCATTTCAAATATATTTTATTGATTAAACAAAAGGATTGAGCAACAGGCTTTGCCTATATAAGCTCTCTCCATGGCTTCCAGCATACTTTTGATATTTGATATTTGAAGACATTGAATACAATATTTACATACATACATTTTATTTCAACTCATCTCATGACACATGGATACATTTATTGCTAGGTAATATACATTTAATTAGGCTGGCTTAATATTTTCATGTTTCTACAGAAAAAAAAAAGAAAAAAAAAAATCCTTGGAGAGAAAAAAAAAATACAAACTTTGGGATATTAATATTTAATATAGTTGTAAAATTTGTGTCAAGAAGAATTAAATATACCGTTATGAANAAATGAATGTGCAGTTGGGCATTAAATATGATAACAAAGTACACTAGTTCACAGGATACAAATATGTGGCATTTTGGTATTTCATAATAAATTATTAATTTTTCAATAATTAAATAAATTATAACTATTGATTTACATTACTCCATCATACCTTAAGTGTCATGACCACATAAAGTCCCTGGACATTTGTTGCCCTGTGATCAATCAACCTTGGTATATTATATGTAAATATATATATTCATTATCCACTATCAACAGAAATAATGAATTTATCTTACAGAATACAAAGAATACACCAACCACATACAGCTTGTATATTCATCTATTTAAACCGTCCTGTAGCATTAATGTATTTATGCACACACTCCATCAATTGATTGTTCTGTAAGTCACTATTACTAGTGTTTCCATTTATAATAGTACTTAAAGGTATTGATTATGGAAATCTTCATCATTTAAAATAAGATCCTGCATAAAAGTTTGTCATTCTTTTGTATAGAGAGGACATTCAAAAAAGAAATGATAAGAGTTTTCAATTGTATGACTACAAGGACAGTTTGGACTTTTTTTCAAGTGATCTTTAAACAGATCATAGTTTAGTTGACTAGCACCATTTCTTAATTGACACATTAATATATTACTTTTTCGTGAACCAGAGTATTTAAATACAGGTGTACATACATTTTGTTCTGTGTCCCCTAAAATTAAATTTGTATTTCCCTTTTAAAAGTAATAATATTTGTAATATTAGTAAGGTTATTATTGGCACTGTTCCATATGTTCATCATACTGGGAAAAAAATTATTAGCATATAGTATGGTTCTAGGAAGGGGCTCATTGAAAATTCTCGAGTGCCTAAGATTGTATGTATTTTCTTCTGGGTTTAATATATAGGGTTGAATAATTTCATGTAGATAATTTGGGGTTATTTTGTTTGTTATTTTAAAGAAGAAGATGTGTTTAATGTCATCCCTCCTATTCTGTAAACTTTCCCACCCTATTTCTTTATATAATATACAGTGGCTAGTGCCTTTTCTTAGACCAGTAATTATCCTGATAACATCAAGCTGGATAGATTCCAAGAGATCTTTTTCTTGTTTTGTACAGTTATCCCATATAACACAAGCATACTCTAGAATAGGTCTGATAAGTGTAGTATACAATATTTCAAGTGCCTTTCTACAGATTTTATATTTTAACATTCTTAGAACATTTACTCTTTTAGATGCCTTTTCAAAAATAAAGGTTATATGATGTGTCCAGTTACCCTGTTCATTCAAGTAAACCCCTAGATGTTTGTATAATACATGACTACTTAAATTTACATAGCTTTCCTACATTGTATAATTGTATCAAACAATATATTCTGTATTACTTCTTTACTACACACGTTAATAATATCAACAAAATTTCTCGAAAAGAACAAGGAAATATTTGTATCCTATGCAGGATATTGATAATTTACCAGATGGTGTAGAATTTGGGTCAGAATCGAGGCTTTGCCTCAATTAGACACTAATTGTGTTATACGCCTACAGAATATCCATATCCCACATACATACATATGATTTTGGAAAGGAGGACATGGAAAGTGCAAATGGAAGCCTCAATATAGCAATTGTTTTAGATAACGTACATATAAACAAAGGCCATATTTGGAAAGAAAAAGTACGGTATCGTGTAGGTGAATTTCACATATGAAGGTCTACGCAAGAACTTCAGGAAAGCTCGTTCAACAATTCCTATGTGCTTGTGGAGGTGTCAATCGCCGACGGCAAGATTGCCATAGTCAGTCAAACGAGTTTGTTTTTACCCTACATACCTAAAATATATGTATTAAACGTTTTGCAACGTTCCAAGACCAACTGGTCCCGTTGTCAACCTATAACTGAGTGAGCGATTTGTATTGTTTACATGTAGAACGATATGACGAAACTATTTTCAAATGACACTCGACACGAGACATTCTGCCTATCGATAAGAGTTATATTTACTGTATCGAATAAGTTACTGGTAGGTTGTAGATCTAGCCAAATTAGTTAAAAAGGATCAATATACCAAACTAAGACAAATAAAAAAAAGCCATCAAAATCAGGAAAACTCAAAATATGAACAGAGACGAGGGGGCACCAGCTGAGTCATCTGTATGACTCTCTAATGGACTAAAGGCATAGGGGCAATGTCTGCACCCTACCAGTAACCCATAGCGTTTAAATCTGAAAAAAATAGGTCAAAACATTCATTGGATGGTTTTTTAATCTGACCTCCTGTTGACTACTACTATTCATTCAGATAGAGTAAAGGGGTCTCATCACTTTAGCGCCTCTGAGAACATCCTGTCACTGACCGAAGAAGCCATTTTCTGTCTGTTGACTAAGGTTTATGACGCTTGTTGAGGGGATGACACTCACGGCGAATATTATGCTCGATAGGGAATCCCTTGCCCAGGATCCTCATTGCATTGTGTACTGAGTGTAAGTTACCCTCCTGCTTACTAAGAGGAAGGTGTGACATGATGGAATGTCCTGACTGGAATCCCTACCCCATGACTAAAGTAGGTAAGGTTACGGCCAGAGGGATATTACTCCTTGATTAGAAAGAGTTGATTCTCAATGAAAGTCTTACTAGGAGGCGATCAATGAAACAGAACCCCAGGAGCCCATGTCGCGATTTGGGTCTCGGATTTGGCCGCCTATTGGTTGATACTTTCACATTACCGAGTGAGGTGCGAACCCCGAAGTCAATAAAGCATGGAGGGGTTCTTTTTCGGAGAAAGTGTCGCTCTACTGGTTCAGTTTAATATTCAAAAGAGGTGTCTTATACAAAATTGCCGTTTGGGGACGGTCCAACTTCAAAATAAAACACATCTTCACCAAACGTTCAGGCATACACACATGTGAAGATATTATCCAGTTAGCATATGAATAGTCAACGCCTGAAAAGGTAGGTGCTACATTGTGCCTAATTTGCATTGGTTGATATAATGCATTAATTATACGAATTGGATATCTGTGTACTGTGAAACGCCTAAGAGTAGTTTATTATAGATGGATAGGGCGTTGTATTATGCATGATAAGTATGCTAGCTTATGAATTCGCCATCCCTGTTATTAACCACGTAAAGAGAGTATATAAGATCGGCGTAAGCTTTTTAAATATAAACACACTGTCGCGTTATCTAATATTTGAAGGATTAGGTCAGGTCTTTATTACTTGTGGAGATAAGCAAAGCAAGGTCGACTTAAATGTAAACATGTTTACCTTGATCTATATCCGTACTATTATGTCACTGCTTTATAAATTTGCGTGTGTGACTGACGTCACTGTACCCAAAACGGGACAGTACCCAAAACCGGACACTTGTGGGAAAACGGCCAAAGAAGCTGTCATGCAATGCAAAGAAGTACTTTCATGCATTCAGATTTCACTTTATGAAACTTTTATGACAATTAAACGGTATATAAGCTTTATTAGCGGTTGATTATCGTCACATGGACAATTTTAAAGGTAAGAATAGTTAAAAAACAAAACTCTCGTGATTTACGTGCCATTGGATGATATTTATTTGGATATTATTTTCAAAAGTCTATTTTTATCCTGTTCATTACGTGTACCAATTCTGACACTCCCCCTTTACATATTTATATCTTATCTGCAAAACAGTGTAAGTAATGACAGCAACCAATATAATTATGTTGTATGGGTAAAATAATCAATCGACAAATAAAGACATCAGTTCTCCGAAAGAGAAGTTAAACATTCAAGCCTGAATCACGGAAATCTAATTCTACATTCAATGTACACTGTAACTTAGCTGAGAGCTTGTAACATACAGTTCACACACCTAAATATCTTACCTGTTAATTAAAAGGTATGTTAATAACCTGTAGTTCCTGCCACTTGATACTATAGCCAAAGGGCATTTCCGATACCTACCTGTGAAATAACAGGTGAACTAATTACCTCAGAGGCGTTGCCTGTGAATATCGTGGCCAAAGGGCATTTATAACCGATCCTGCAACTAACACAGGTAGTATGGTGTACCGGCGCGTTTCTTTTTGTCCCCAGTGTTGGAAGAAAAAATCTTGTTGAAAGTATTAAAGTAAACTTCAACAGCGTTTATATGTAAACTCTGACCGAAAACTGACGAATTCTGAATAATATAGGTTTATTATTTTTGTATTAATGGTGATGATGATATGACATGTATTTAATAGTTTAAAATACCAACATGAGCATTTGTTTAGCAGCTTTTTTAACAAAATATTATCTTCAGAGGCGGATCCAAGAACTCGTGATGAGTTTACTTGTGCCACACTATTTTCATAATAAACCTTCAAATGTTAACATAAATCCAAACTAATACAGCTCCTGTTTGTGAAAATTGTGTTTTAAAACAAACGCAAAACCAATGCTGTGAAGTCTAGTTGAATTGAATATCACCAACTTGAGCGAGCTCGGCAAAATTCTTTTCTGTTTCGAGTTTGAATTTTACGTATAATTTGAAGCTAGCGATGAGTGGAGAATTAGGAACCAGTTTCTTTTTTGAAAAAAAATATGCTTAGAATATGAAACAATATTTGTTTCTGTCTGGGTTTTGGGTAAATACTACAAGCAACACCTGAGTGTCGAATCTGTTTAATTATTTATAAAGATTTGTAGAAACAACAGTTTAACTGTTGTTGAACAGAGTAGGCAAACAATGCCTCAGAACGGTACACGATTTCAGCCGACATCTAAAGCAATATTTCAACGAAACAAATATTTTAAACTATCATATTCACATTTAATCGTGACAGTGACAGTTTGATTGACACCAGACATGAATTGGTTGTTCACGTATACTTGTTGGTATACAATTAAACTATACTGACCGTTGTTTTAACTTTTAAGTAATCTACGTTCGCTATTATGACAAAACCAAATTGAATGAGAGTCTACGTGCTCTAATACTACACCAAACTCAGATGGAAAAGCTGTTTGGTTAATTTTTCACTTTTAGACGTTGATAGGTGGATATGTAACGTTACATGGGGTCTGAAATATGCATGTATACACATAGGAGGAATTCATCCGATGTATTAGCAGATTTCAAAACACTACAGTACATGGCAAGTATATGACTCTAAAAAGTCACATCATTTAACTGGCTCTTACGTCATATAATTTTTTTATCGAGCTATATGCCTATCTTATATACGTCTTACGTCCCTGCCATATCAAAATCGTCCACCGATGTAAATGTTTAGTTAAATATTTATTTGTCTTCGTCCTTACTCTAACCTAAATTGGTAGAGAATTGTATAAGTATGTAGTTCATGCCAAGAATCACTCTGTCAGACGTGTCCATTAAAACAAATAGGAAATATATAGATGGGTGTACATGTAGCTCCTGAACCGTAGCTACTGTTATATGGACCAGTGGCCCATGCCACACTGACATCACAAGTACAATATGACCTGTTAGCTTAATACAATTATCGCCAGTAAGGAGCGGTCACCTTTGATTGCCTATATCTAGGAAACGGGGCACTTCTGAACGCGCGCTGATGGATAATTTTGTATTATTTTAAGTATAAAACAGGTTTCGCTTATTTATACAAAATGTAAAAGATCCTGGCCAAAATCGGTCCTTTAACATAAGCTCTCTTGTAGCAACCAGAGTTAATGAAGGCTATCTGGTAGCAAGCAACATTTAATATAGACTCTCTGTTAGCAAGCCAGAGTCAATATAGACTGATAGCAATTCAGAGTTAATATCGGCTCTGTGGTAGCAAATCGGCGTTAATATATGCTTTCTTGTAGCAAACCAGTGTTAATATAGGCAATGTTATAACACCAGCATTAATATATGCTTTCTTGTAGCAAACCAGAGTAAATATAGGCTCTCTGGTAGAACACCAAAGTTAATATAGGCTCTTTTGTAGCAAACCAGAGTTAATATAGGCTTTCTGGTAGCAAACCAGAGTAAATATAGGCTTTCTGTTAGAACACCAGCATTAATATAGGCTCTCTTGTAGAACACCATCATTAATATAGACTCTCTGGTAGCAAACCAGAGTAAATATAGGCTCTCTTGTAGAACACCATCATTAATATAGACTCTCTGGTAGAACACCAGAGTTAATATAGGTCTCTGGTAGAACACCAGCATTAATATAGACTCTCTGGTAGAACACCAGAGTTACTAAAGACTCTCTCGAAGCAAACCAGCGTTAATATATGCTCTCTTGTAGAACACCATCATTAATATAGACTCTCTGGTAGAACACCAGCATTAATATAGACTCTCTGGTAGAACACCAGAGTTACTAAAGACTCTCTCGAAGCAAACCAGCGTTAATATATGCTTTTTGGTAGAAAAACCCGCTCATCAGTATATTGGTCAACTTAATGCATCGATCCTGAAAGTCATGACACTAAGAACATATCCCGGAAAAGTAACTGATAAATTATCATTTTTCATTTGCATTTTACAAATCACGAAATAAATTGACATTCTCAATAACAGTAGCTCATTTAATAGGTATATTTTATTTCAAACTACGAGATGAAGTTATTGAATGAACTTACAACTACCACTACATTATTTCTGTCACTTCATCAGTAAAACTTCAGCTCTCTTCATCAACAGATGAGATATCTTCATCAACAAATGAGCTCTCTTCATCAACAAAGCTTCTCATATCTTTTCCCTGATTTGTATCTAGTCTTCCTGTTCTTCTTTCATGTTCCTAAAGTAGCCCATTTTTCAGTACTCCCTCCAAAATTGCAGTTTTCAGGTGGCGTTTTTGTTCAAAATAAGATTGATTTAAACTTGGAATATGTCGTAAAAGAATCGTTATTAAAAACATATACCACAGTCTTATTTCTTATTATTAGTTTATTTTTACATAATTATTCAGTGCAAGTTCCTCTACAACTACAAAAATGGCTGCTTTTTAACATAACAGTTCATAGTAAAACTATTTAGAGGTTACTAAAGCTTTGTTGTTTCTGTATTTTTGCTGAATAATCGCTTTTTTATTTCGCTGAGATCGTTCTCCGAGGGCGGAAAAAGCACTTGGCACCATCTTTCGGTTGTATTAAAGTGACGTCTTTTAATTCACAACTTTGACCGGGAATCAGTTCAAAGTCGAAATTCTGCAATATCTTGGCAATGATGATTTTCATCTCTATCTGTTAAGTAAAAATTCAACACAATTTCATGTTTATGTTAAGTATGAAGTGGCAAAATCAACAATGCAATTTATCTCTATTATTTTGATAACCAATATTAAAGAAATAGATAAATAATCAGGATTAAATTGGAAGAGTACTGCTCGACTTTATTCGGTCTTAGTATGTCTTAGTTCTAAAAAGTGTGATTGAATGTGACTTTTCGTTATTGCTATATGTAACGCGTTAGCTACGCTGTTATTTCGCATTTGGATAAGTCCTTTTCGCTTCTTATCTGCATTCGATAATATATATCAACCGTAGTTGATATTTCTTTCCGTCAGACATGATGTTTTTAACTGCTGCCTATCTTTACCCTATCTCTTATCGATTCCTATTTAATACAAAGATATACACGGTCATGTCCTATGCTATTTTATTTCTATTTTGTCAACCAATAACTAAACTGGGGAATTAATGTTTTTGAAAATTGTCCCAGTATTGTAGGCTGTTGTGAAGCTGATGTGTTTACAGAATCATGCCCAAACTAAAAACAAAACGTTTTCCGTGTATTTTAGCCGCAGAACACGACCTGGTTTGAAGAAGAAAAAGAAAATGAGCCTTTACATTTTATGATTATTGCAACATACCCTTAATTGCTTTTAAATTACGTTTATTTCTTATCATGTAATGAACAAGAACATACCTGTGCGAATTTTTTTCCTATACAAGCGTGGGGTCCAACTGCAAATGGCGTGGACGCATATTTGCTAAATCTAAAACAATAATACATGACTTGTATGTAATATATATAAAAGGCATCGAGGTTTTTTGTTATCAATGGAAATATTACTACGGAGGAAAAGACTTTAAGAGACCCTATTTAGTTCTCCTTAATTCAGTTTTATGATTATCATACGAGCGAAGGTTTCGAATTATATATTATATACTTCTCTGAGCTGTCGATGTGAAATCGTTCCGGTATGAACTTTGTGGGATTTCTCACATTTTGCTCTGCCCTGGACGTCGCGTAAAAACTAATCTGCAAAACGGATGTACACAATATTAACACTGGTTGATTTCATATATAGCGGGTATGGTTATTTAAACAAGAACATGTGCATTATAATTGTATTGCTACAAAGAAGATGTAAGGACTCTTCGTTTTTTACAAATTTACAAAATCGATGCAGCAAGCCACACAAAGCAAATAAGCTAGCATAATACCATATTGTAATTAATTTCTAATGACAATATTATGTTGTACCTATTGTTAGAAAAATATTATGTTTAACCTTCAAATAAATAGTAACGTCTGTTCTTACAGGAAATACCGATAGGGATAGATCATAATACGAATGGTATTTCTGGGTAGACTATAGAGTGTATCAGTAGATGAAAGGTCAGTCTACATATCTATTTTTTGTACTGCAGTAAAATATCACTTCAATTATATAAGTGGCAACGTTCTATACAAAAGATAATCTCAGATATATATCTTAGACATGTGGTTTTAGATCTGTCGTCTTATCAATCTCAAATGTAAACCTATGAATTTCCCTGAAATATGCTGTTGACATCTGTGATTGGAATATTTAAGGCAGTAAGAAGCTCGGGATGCATCAAGATACACTGTTATTGTCATATTATCCAGTCGTTAAACGCCCAAGTCGTTCAAGAAAAATAACTTAAAAGTATTAAAAAAAAACGAGAAACGTATAACAGACGTCGCATGACGACATACGTTCAAAAAACCTGTGAAACCAATAACTGTATGCCGGGAGACTTTCGGCCAGTCACAATTTCGCCCTTTACAAGAAAAGGCTGTATGGTCCCAGTGCTAAATTTGCCCTTCTTATATAATGACTTTGTATGTTATTGTCTGTATTAACTATTCGCTGTCAAGATAAATTTGTTCCCATCCTGGAAGGCGATAAGGGCGAAAGATCAACTGCAGCGAAAAAATTGTATGTGTCAAAAAAAATGGAACGCTTGTAAAATATCGTTGCAATAGGATTCCATACGACATACCGATATCAACGTGTAGGAATAAACGTTCTCTTCATTCTTATAAATTGTGACTTTTTAAGGTACCGATATACATGACAGAGTCCACTCACAAGGACTAAAGAAACGATAATGCAATAGTGTCAAGAAAACTTAACACAAATCGAATTTGATAAATCGAGGATAAAAATTAACTTGACATTGTTTGCAGGAATAACACAGACGAATAGTACAGGTGTTTTGGAGGGGTCAGCGTTTTCTGCTTAAACGTCGTCTTATCCTCGAAGTGATTTATAAGCAAACCATATTTCTCCCCAATTAATTATATAAATAAATATACAACATTTGATATAGCGCACTATCTAGCTAATATAAGCCACTCTTAAGTGCTTTACAGTATATATATATATATATATATATATTTGTATAGAAAAAATAAGATGAACGACCGACTAAAAAACTAGCTGCTTTCACCCTTCACAGGGCTCTTCATGTTTATTCAAAAGAACAACGTCGTGACGTCACAATTACATGTCATCACACTACAATAGTAACGTGACGTCACGAAGTACACAAGATTGGTGGACAATTTGGCGTAAAATTTTATTGTGGCCTGTTGAGACTCGGTTTTAATATTTTTATTAGTTGGTCTTCTTTCGTTTCTCTTAAAATAGTGTCTGATGAAAATAGTTGATACAAAGGTAATACATTAAATTTATCTCCAGCACATTCATGAATATGTTTGTTAACATGAAGATTTCGTAAAGAATCAGTTCTAGTTTGTTGTCTATGTACAGTCATACGTGTTCTGAGTTCATTACCGGTTTGACCGATGTAAAAATCACCACATTTAGAACAAACGATTGCATAAATTACATTTTTTGATTTACAATTCATATTTACCTTCACAGTAAATTTCAAACCATTCTTGAAAATAAAAGTATTACACTCGATAATCATAGGACATGTAGCACATCTTGGTGTCTTACATTTGGATACTTTTGGTGTTACACAAGAATTATCAAACTTAGAACATGTCAACATACGTTTCAAGTTTTTAGGTTGGCGTCTACAGTGTAAAATAGCATGTTTATTAAAAATGTTTCTCATACGCCTGCTACTTTGCTTTAACTCTTCACATTTGTTCTTTATCACAGGAAACATATTACAATTCCGTGGATTGAAAGTAGAAACAAAAGGAACTAACTTTGATTCATCCTTTAGTTTTTGTAGACGGGAAGTAAAGGGTCCCTTTTCAATAGCTTTCTGTATACCATGTTCTATTATCTCAGTAGGATAACATTGAGCTTTAAGGTATTGCTTTAGTTGACTTAGTGTAGCAATTTGAGCTTGTTGGTCACTGACGATAGTGACGATCCGTGAGGCAAGAGTAAATGGAATATTAACTTTAGTGTGTTTACTGTGGTTAGAGTAAAAATTTAGATAATTATGTGCATCTGTAGCTTTACAATATAAATCCGTTGTAATCTTATTTGAATCTAGTTGAACTAAAACATCTAAGAAAGGTAAAGACGTTTCGCTACGCTCCATCGTATAACAAATAGAAGGATGTGAAGAATTCAATAGGTTTTGAAATTCATTTAAATCCTTATCAGAAGGCCATATAACAAAACAATCGTCAAGGAACCTTAAAAAATTATTTCTGATAAATTCAGTAAAGTTTTCCCCAAACTTTGTCTCAATCTTAGAATAAAGTGTTTCCTCTAAGTATCCTAAAACTAAGGTTGCATATGTAGGGGCAACTTTAGTTCCCATCGCTGTACCCTTAATCTGTTGAAAGTATTCTTGCTCAAAATAAAAAGAATTACGATTGAGGACAATGTCTAGAGCTTGCAGTATAAATTCATTACTAAAACGAGAATTAACTTTTTCTCGTTTTTTGATCAACCAATATTTAACAGCTTCAATACCAAGATCATGCGGTATATTAGTGTATAAACTAACAACATCAAAAGAAACAAGTTTAGCATTATGTGGGACCTGTTTAGATAAACGGCTCAGAAAATCAAAATCATCTTTGATATAACTGTTTACACTTGTGCATAAAGGTTTAAGAATGAGGTCTACAAGATGACTCAAACGTTGCGTTGCACTATTAGGGCCGCCTACTATGGGTCTAAACTTCAAATCCGTAGGATTTTCAACTTCAATATATGTACAGTTTTGTTCTTCTATAGCTTTACTTATAATAGAGCTTTTGTGGATTTTAGGCAAACCATAGAAATAACTAGTTTTATGCATAAAATTGACAAGATAATCTATCTCCTTTTCATGTAGGCATGCTTCATGTGTCCGTGTTAGCTCGTTGATTAATCTACGGGTTTCCGCATCGAAATCGTCACTTGCCGAAGCATAAAATTCAACATTACTAAGCATGTTATGTATGCATTCATAATAGAAATCTCTATTCATGACCACTACTGCATTACCTTTATCAGCCTCTTTGATAATAATAGAGGTATCATTTCTTAAAGAATCCAAAGCACATTTCTGTCTGTAAGACAGATTACTTTTTACGTGTTTATGATTATCATTATGTAAAGGAATCTTTTTTAAACTATCAATGACGTCTTCTAAATGTTTGTCCGAACTTCTTGGTGGGTTCCATTGCGAATTGTTATGGACTAACGCCGTTGTTTCCAACGGTTTGCTTTCACCGTCTTCGTCACAAAACTTATCGCATAGACGAAGTCTTCTGCAGAATTTCAGAATGTCCGCCTGAAGTTCTTCATTATCGTTTTTATCTGGTGTTGGACAAAATTTAAGACCCTTCGATAGCAAATCAATTTCATCTTTTGTTAATTTTCTTTTAGATAAATTAATTACCTTAGGGATAACTCCCTCTACCATATTTGTTTTAATTTTGTCTCTTGGGTATCGTAGCTCCTTCTTTTTGTTCCTCCGCCTGTGTTTACAGTTGGACAATGTCCTAAACAATGGTTGTTTACACTTTGGCCTATATATGTCGTTGCCGATTTCCGAAAGATTCCATGTGTTCCTGAAGTGTCGTCTTGCCTGCTGTAAGATTTTTCTTTCGCAACTCTATGAAGTTTCGGACGAGTGACGCTGTAGTGTTTAGTTGCTGTTGTTGACTTCTTCACAGAGTAGACAGGTGTTTTAACACTTTCAGCGTATGATGCCGTAGGTTGTAATTTACGTCCAGTATCTCTAGCTGGCGCATTTTCTCTAGTTTGCGACGCGGGCGTGTAAGGGCTAATGCTAGATCTCATCGGAGTCGTAATCGATTTGCACACGGGAATTAATATTTCATTGCCANTCAAGAATGGTTTGAAATTTACTGTGAAGGTAAATATGAATTGTAAATCAAAAAATGTAATTTATGCAATCGTTTGTTCTAAATGTGGTGATTTTTACATCGGTCAAACCGGTAATGAACTCAGAACACGTATGACTGTACATAGACAACAAACTAGAACTGATTCTTTACGAAATCTTCATGTTAACAAACATATTCATGAATGTGCTGGAGATAAATTTAATGTATTACCTTTGTATCAACTATTTTCATCAGACACTATTTTAAGAGAAACGAAAGAAGACCAACTAATAAAAATATTAAAACCGAGTCTCAACAGGCCACAATAAAATTTTACGCCAAATTGTCCACCAATCTTGTGTACTTCGTGACGTCACGTTACTATTGTAGTGTGATGACATGTAATTGTGACGTCACGACGTTGTTCTTTTGAATAAACCTAAAGAGCCCTGTGAAGGGTGAAAGCAGCTAGTTTTTTAGTCGGTCGTTCATCTTATTTTTTCTATATTTACTTCCTTCACATGGACAATTAATCACTTTTTATTATATATATTTGTATACAGTCAATAAAATTAGCATATATATTAATCAATACAATATTGAGGAATTCGCAGAAGCTGCCTTATCAGGCGCTTACTACTAGTCCTATGCCACCTGGCTAGTATCTCCCTATGTGTGTGTGCTGGAGATGTATTGTGTTCTGTTTGTAGTGGGACCATACTTCCAACGGTATCATTGATAGTGGCGGAGTGGCGGAGTGTTAACCACTCAACCAATCCGCCCATTAGACAGAGATATCTACACTGCCGGTCAGGGAAGGATATTACTGTGTTACCTTATTGAAAAATGGGAGAATTCCCTTGTCATTACAAGTGTATAACGTCACACAAACAATAGCTGATCACGGAAAATAACTCTGATTTGCAGGAAATTCTGAGGTAAACGTTTGTATTTCATTAAATTTCATTTCATGTAAATACCATCCTTGGGATAGGGATCTTAAAAATGGCTTCGTTAAAGCCACTGGCTAGACATTTAAGATTATTAACCTTTGGGTTTAGTTTTTACTATTTTTCCTGGGGGAATACTATATCAGTCGTTCTTAAAAATTGTCCATGGTCTTTTTCGACATGCGTGCCTCGAAACTCGTTCTTATTTGTTTGTTTGAAGGCATCTGACGTCCACAACGGAAATTGTAATATTCTGTGGATGGGGGCGTGGTATTGATGTTACTTTATATAAATGGAAACTTTAGGATCGAAAAATCAAAACAGTAACACGTATTGTTCAGCTTAGTAGGTAGCCGTCTTAGTGTATCTTATTATCAGTAAATAAAAAGGTAAGACGATGATGGCTGATGTAGAGGAGTCTATAGTGTCCTTGATTTTAAATGAAGGGGAGTTTCTGCGATCGACATGGTAAGGTATTTATTTGCCGTCCTGACAAGATCTTAGATAAAGTCCCAAAATATGACGGCACTTTGCAAAATTTATGTTTCACGAATGTTTACAAAACATAAATCTGTTTTAATTTAATGATAAATTCATGAAATTTCTCCAAAGTTCATAATCTATTGCATATTCGAATGACCTATTTGACAAATACTTTATAAAGATAACATGCAACTGTGATTGTTCCTTTAAACTTTGGTAAACGATACAGTAAGCCCAAAATCTTTCTTCTGGTTCGTCCTTCTTGGGCTCATCGGAAACGCTTACATGTAGGGGTCAAAAGGTTGGGAATCCAAATAGTCTTATCTACTGTTGAAACAGAGGGGCAGGTGCGTATAACCGCCTAGTTATAAATTTAAAAATTGAGGCTCAGGTTAATTTCAAAATTAATAATTTGTAGGTGTGTTTATTATGAATTATGCTACTACTCAAGGGAGTAGTTATATCGTCATATTTTATAATATGATAAGATAATTGCCAATATTCTGTTAAATATACTAATTGATTTTGATATGCTCTATTGCTGTCATATTTTATATCAAATAACGCTTACCATCATATCAGTTCCCGCGGGAATGAGATGACCGCCGACCATACGGTCTTTGAATGTGTGGCGAGCGGTCATCTTAGCCACTGGGTAGAGTCGTTGTGTTTCTTTCAACACCAAATCTAGGTAGGGTAACTTCTCAAGCTCATCCAAACTGATCACCGACACTGCGCCGATGTTTTCATCAATCTCCCTTTGTAGCCTTTGTAGAGTAATATTAATTTATTGTTATCGCCTCTGGTCATTATTGCTCAAGTAATTTGTTATCAATAAGATTTCACGCGATTAGAAGAGCAATATATTCGATCTAGAATTGTATCATCTGGATATCTATTCAATATGTATTGCATATTTTTTAAACATGTGATATATCTCCTTTACCTTTTGTATTTGGCTATTACATTTGCTTTTTATAGGATCTTCGAAATTGCAAGTGTTACGCTCACTTAGGTTAACGTCGTCTCTTGAAAAATGTGAATAAAATGATTAAATAAAGGCCCGTGATAAGCTATTCGACTAGTTTCAGGTATAACAACTGACCAATTGCTTGGCTGATACCTGTCATTTGGAAATTACAGAGCAGCTATTCCCGACGTTTATAAAGCCGGTCAATTTGATCGTTACGCTGCCTCGCTATTCATTTAATGTACATAAAAAACTAACTAGCCTACTTGTATCATTAACAAGGTGGTATAACAGAGCCTTCTATTTCACGAGGAAGGGACCGCTCGTGTTGCTTACCTTTTGTAACATTCCGGGTTCTTTCCGAGAAGAAAAACCACGAAACTCAAAGTTTTGGCGGATGTTTCCTGCCCTGTTTGATATAAAATAAAACATTTGGAAGCTGCAATCAGAAAATTGGTCATTTCCAAGATCATCTTTGGAACATTTTTTTTTTACAGAAATTAACAATTTATAAATGAAGATGCCTTTTACATAAAAACATATCGAAGACAAAACTTTGCGCCGGATCAATGCAGGATCGGATTTTGAAGCCTGCACCAAGCATCACAACGGAATTATTCTATTTGTAACCGTCTAGAATTTACAGCATAAGAAAATATAGCTACAAATGTTATTTTTATTTGTATTATGTAGATTCTTATATTTACCTCCAGCCAGGAATGTAATGAAATTATCAAGCAGTATTTCGTCCGTTATCATTGATGGATGTTTTTCTGAAACAATACATGGACAAAGACTGTTTTTTGTCCTTTTTCGCATTGTTCACGCTGTCTGATATCCTAATCATTTAACGAGAAAAGTGTACACCCTGTTGACGTCAGAACAGTTGTGATGAAGTGTGTTTTTGTTGCCCTCGAAAAGAATATATTTGGGTAAAGTCAAAAACAAGAAAGTAAAGGTATATTAAAATTATTACTATCCACGAGTATATGCCCTTATTTTGCATTGTAAATAAGTATTATCAACATTTAGCCATGTCGTAATTGTGTAAACTTTCAAAATGAGGAGTAAAATTTTAAAGGGGTGAAATGTAATATTTTAATAGATTGTTACAGAAAAGAAAGAGTCGCGATTTTCCAAATAGTCATATGGTCACATTTTTATTTATTCAATATTTTTCAGTTAAATTTTGCCATTTTTCCTAACTCCAGTCCCGCATTGCTCTTTACTGCGAATGCCCAAAGAAACCCATTTAATCGTGACTAAACCCTAGACTTTATTTCTGAAAAGAAAAAACAAGCTTATCCTTTATTGGCCATTGAAGTGGGCACTTCTCCCTTATACAGAAAACAATACATACCTTATTATAAATATTTGAGAATGAAATATGAGCTTATATCCGATACACAAGGTAGCAGTTTTCTCTTTCTGTTACACCCATTACAATTAGCAATATAAATGTACTAGAGAAATACCTTTTAGCTCCATTATGTGTTCCATGAGATCATCCGGGAAATAGTCGCCATTACGTTTCGCTATATTTCTCTCATCTATCACTTGTTTAGCTCTTTGTCTGAGAGTGTTAATAGCATCTCGAACATTCCGGCGGAATCCCCATTTCAATGGATTTATCTTAATACACAAAAATCCAAAATACATGGAACATATATGTAAATGATCTAGTAATATCAAAGGCCTACTCCAAACAGTATAAATGCGCCCAAAGAGAAATAATAGATAGACGTTTTGTCATTGTGGCAAAATGAGCTAATGAGTGCATTACCTTTGTGAAATTAAATTTCATGGTACATCTTACCTTAATAGGGGCGTAATCAGTACTAACAATTGTATTCAAATACTATTAAATATAAGAATTTGCAAATATTGAACTATTTTAACCTTACAGATTATTCTGCGTTTCTTCAATTTATCGGATTATAAGCCTTACCAAAGGAAAATTTGAGAAAGAAAATAAAAAGCACTTAGAGATTTATATCACAGCGTCAACACACAAATGACAGTATTCGAACTCAAAGTTATTCTTCAGGTAAAATAAAAAAAAATGAGGAAAAATCGAAACAAAACATTATGAACCAATGATCAAATCAAACACATGGATTCGAAGCCAAATGTTGTAGAAAAAAACAAGCACCCGTAAGCATTTAACGTTATTTACGTACAGCTACTAAGGGATTTGCTATGAGCGCCGCTGTGCCTGATAACGCTGTCTGTAGCTTCGTGACAAAGGGGTGGTTCTCTTCACTTAATGGTCCCAGATCCATGTTGAAAGCTACCTGAAAAAAATCACATATATAAAAGAAGTGTTATAATTGATGTTTTTAAAATAATATGTAAAATGATAGGATATTGATTAAAATTGCAATCGGTTCAAAGTAAAGGAAAAGAGCAACGTCCCATATAAATTCATTTAATTTCACATGTTGTTATTTTTATAGATTGATACTTTTGCAATGTATTCCACCATTGCGACTTTATGATGATTTTCTTTTTTTAGAAATACTGACTTCAACTAAGTCTACGATGTTACGAGACTTTTCATTGGTCAATAACTATATATTATTGGCTGATAATAATAAGAGCGTAGCTTTCGGGCGCCGAAGTCGCCCGAGCGAAGCTCTTTAATGGTAACACATGCGTGCGTAAACAGAGTTGCTTCCCCTTTCTACACATTGCCTTTATTATTTTTCGTCCGGAAGTAGACGTCCGGAAGTGTATCCTTAAAGCAAAGACAACTGTGTTTTAACCCATACATGAACATCTTCATATAGTGAAAACAATACCCATGTTTTATTACTTGTTTATTAAGATAAAAACTAATATACATTCTGAGTGAAAAAAATCTATCACATAATTTTTGATACTAGCAGACATGAAACGTCGTTCAGAGATTAACATACTGTGACGTCACAATCACATCACACTCCTTCGGCCTGCATCGGTTATTTCCGGAAGGATGAAAAATAACCGGAAAATCTTGGAACTGATGGCCGTTGCATTTATCTCTTTGTCGGTGCTTCATGACTTTTTAATTTCAGTTTTTGCCACAGGCACAAAAAGTAAAAACGCTGATGTTTTCTGAAGATCCTATTTTGTCATCAGCCAGGTTCTGTTAATATTTCTACCGGGAGATATTTTTTAAAAAAGCCGCATTAAACCAATAGGTCAACGTGAACATTTATTTTTCATCGTCTAAAATTTCATCTGCTTTTGATTTCCATTTGTTGAGAATATGAACGAAATAATTAACATTTTTGAAAGTCTGGTTATAGTCTTTACATAAGTTATGCATGCATCACCACTCATAAAAGAAACAATGGATAATACATTTATGTCGAAATCAACAATAATTGTCCAGACAACGAACCCGAGTTCAACGCCCTTTTTCAGCAACGTATTACTTTTTCACAACGCTTGCCGATTTATAGCTAGTTAGAGACAGAAACTGTTTAATTGCATTTGGCATTATTACCTGTCAAACATCAGTGACAATTACAAATTTCAAATTCAATCCGGTGTTTTAGGATTATTTCAAAAAGAAAAATAGATCATAAGATAGTAGTTTTTATTAGTAAGTATGTGATAAACAGAATAAAACACGCCTTTTTCCATATCACACCAAGAATCAACCCTCGACCAATATCAGCCCTCGGGCATTAGGCCCTTGGGCTGATATTGCAGTCTCGGGTTGATACTGGGTGTGATATGGAAAAAGACATGTATTATTCTCTATATAGCATACCCTACTATCAGATACATATTTTATAACAGATGATAGCATACCCTACTCCCAGATAAATATTGTATAACAGATGATATCATACCCTACTCCCAGATACATATTGTATAACAGATGATA